AGAGAGAGAGAGAGAGAGAGAGAGAGAGAGAGAAAGAGAGAACTTATAACTCTGGTTTTTTTTGGTGGTTTGTTTGTCTGTTTGTTTGTCTGTTTGTTTGATTGATTGTTTGTTTTGGTACTCCTGTAAAATTGGAAAAACCAAAATTACGATAGTTGTGCTGCTACCCCGCGATATTTTAATGCCTTGTACGCCCAGAAGCCCAACTACTTAGAAGACAATAGATAACAAGCTGATAAGGTTGTTGTCATCGATCCAGGTTGTTGTTATCGATCCAGAAGCTGATAAGGAAAAGCGAGAGAATCAAAGGAATAAGATCTGCCAATGTTAACTGCGCATTGTACTATCGCTGCAGAGAATCAAGCTCAAACAAAAAACATGTTTGGGTTGGGTTTTTTAAAGAATTGACGCAATCAATTAATTGAACTTTCAAAAAGGGAGTGGGGCTCTATGTACGTTCCTTGTATACGATTAACATATACATGTGATAATAATTATTGTAGCATGTTACTTGCGCGAGAGATTCGAACATTGAATCATGTGCAACGAGACACACAAAAGAACCAATATTATTTTTATCAAATGCCTTTAACTACATCATTGTATTATTAGAGAAGGATATTGAATAAGATTGTTGGTTTGTTTCATCCGTACGCTTGAATTGTAATATCCAATGGAACACATCATTTGATTCAATTTAGAGCCAAGTGACGAGGGAAGGGGAACTAAGGTGCCGCCCACGCTCGACTTATAGCGAGACTGGTGTTTTGCCCTTACCAGAGAGTTTACAGTAATATTAGGCCTACTGTAGACCCTCTCTGACCTTACTTTGGACGCCCCTGAGGTCACGCTTCGCAGTGAAGTTTTATAGAGAGCAAGAGCAGCGACCATGACAGTGTACGATCTATATTCTTGTATCAAGTCGATGGTTTCATCAAATATATTATTATGCAGTTATCCTTTTTCTGAATTTAAATTAGTAGGCCTACTGTAAAAGGCATTTTTTCCTTTTGGTTTTTTTTTTTAACCTGCCATTTAAAATAAGTTTTAAAAAGTGTCTTTTACTTGTGACGTCACAGAGACCCAATTTAAAGGTGGCTCTGCAATTATAATTAGAGTGGGCGGGAACCCCTGATAAGTGTACTATGGGTCAAGTAAGTTCCGAAAGGAGGGCAAAAGTTCACTCAGATTAATTTGTTTCATCATCAAGTGTCGCCTAGGCACTCCTATCAATTTTACGGCTGAAATAATGTTTTTTTTAAATTATGTTATTTTCTTCAGTTATGAAGTATTATGCAACCAAGCAAGCTAGGATAAACAACTTGTTCGGGGGTGTTACATCACATAAGGCCTAATGAAAAATTTGGCATACTTGCTTCCTTCGAGGTGAGACCTTTTAAAAGTTTGTCGATGTGAGTTATGGAGGGAGAGAAAGAGAGAGAGAGAGAGAGAGAGAGAGAGAGAGAGAGAGAGAGTATTTGTGCGTGTGTGTGTGTGTGTGCGTGTGTGCGTGCGTGTGTGTGTGTGTTTG